CTCTCTTCGGGGACCGTACACTCAACCCTTTTGAGCATTTCCCTGTTCTTGGAGTGCTCTCCGGGTGGCTCTGGGAGACCCTCTGGCATCCCTAGCTGGGAGCAGCATTGTCACTGAGGGTGGTATCTCACCATGTGTCCGGGGCTGGAGCTAAAACCCAGGCTGTGGCCCCCACCGTACCACATGGCAAGAATATGCCTGACTCTAGGATATGGCAAGATGCTGGTCTATCAGGAACCTAAAGGAAAAGAAGCCAGAACAACATCTCTCTGCTGCTAAGGGAGCTGTGTCCTTCCAGGTCTGTCATTGTAAGAGGCCCCATGAAGAGGCATGGCTGTGATCGAGGCTTGGGGTTGGGGTTTGGGCTCTGCCACTTCCTGAGCAAATAAGTGACTTAGCTTCTCAAATCCTCCGTTTCACCATCTGTCAAATGGGAGCAAGGAAACCTACCCTGGGTTGTTGTGAGGCTGGACCTGTTTATTCAGCACATGGGCTCTTACTGAGGCCTTCCGCGTGCCAAGCATGGTCCTAGTCCCTCCCCAGCTTTGGGGAAGGTGTGAGTCCTCCTGGGCAGGTGTGAGTCTCTCCATACCTGGAAACACGCCCGTGAGTCTCATCTGGACTCCATGTTTCTCTTCCCATCATCACCGGCATCCCTCGTGGAAGGGGAACTCGCACCCAGAGAGTTGGGCAGTTTGGGACCAGAGTGAACGTAATAGCATTTTGAAGTTAAAGCCACCTGTACTAGCTCTTCCTGGCTGTGTGGCTTTCACACCAGTGTGACATCAGTCCTCCCCTTGTTGTCGCTTCTAATCAAATGTTACTAAGGAGAGTATGTTTTATTAAGCTCAAATATTGACTATTTAGAATTGAGAACAAAAAGAGACTTCTGTGCTTTCTGCATTCCAGGTTGTTCCAATTGATTTTTTTCTGCTTTCCTAACAAGTGCCCTGATTATCTGTTTTGCTTCCATTTTCTGTTGCTTCTTGCCCTTTGCTTGCAAAACAAACAGGCAAGCCCGGTAAGTAAACGCTTTTCCCCTAATTTGACATCTGCCCCACGCAATCCTTGTTTGTTTGTTTTCTAATTTTGTTATTTTTGCTTTTGTGTATTTGCTGCATTGCCCACATGATTTAAAAACTTTTTTCCTGAAAAAGCCAGGGAGATCTCCAGGGGCATTGTTTTGTTGTCCAGGCTGATTTCCTGATTGGAAGCACCTAACTGCATTTGTCATTTACAAAGAGATTTGTGAAGTTTTCTTGCCTCCTCAGTCTCCTGGGAACTGGACAATTCTGTTTTTAAAGGGGTTAGGTTGGGAGGAGAGGAAACCTGAAGCAGGCAAAGTTTTGGCTCCAGGAAATCAGATGGACTCGGTTTGATAAATGGCTCCTTTACCAAGCCCAGTGAAATGTATACACAGCCCCACAGCAGCCCAGATGTACCTTGCACAGTACAATGGGAATTAAGGAAGCAGCTAAAAGTCAAAGAATAAACAGGTGTTTGGTTACCAGTGAAACTCTGAAATGCCCTTTCTCTTAGGAGCCTAGATGTAGCAAGCAGATAGCTGTGATTGTGCTGCTGTCACTGTATGTTTAAGTTTCCCTTTCATGGGTTGCAGTGATACACTGTCACACCGATTCAGGGGCAGCTGTTATAGGATTCATTGTGGACAGTGATGCTGTTGATAATGGGCAGCTGGCACCAGACTCTTCCTCGGTGTTGAGGGCTCTATGTAGTTTCACATTTCATCTTCCCCCATGGGTTGCAGTGATACACTGTCACACCGATTCAGGGGCAGCTGTTATAGGATTCATTGTGGAAAGTGATGCTGTTGATAATGGGCAGCTGGCACCAGACTCTTCCTCGGTGTTGAGGGCTCTATGTAGTTTCACATTTCATCTTCCCCCCAAATGGCATAAGATAAAAATACTGTGATCCCTATTTCAGATGAAGAGGCTGAGACAGAGTCTAGAAAGCCTGCTCCAAGGTCACACAGCTGGGAAGTGTTGAGCCGATATTCGAACCCAGGCAGGCAGACTCTGGAGCCTCTCAGCTCTGGCCCTGTGCAGGCCTCTGGTGGTGGGCGCTCTGAGTCCTGTGATCACAGAGGCAGGGTTGGAGGACATTGGGCATCTTCTAGGCCAGTGTTTCTCCAGGCGGGGCCCCTGGACCAGGATTGTCTGTATCATTGGGAAACTTGTTACGGATGCAAGGTCTCAGCTCCACCCAGATAGACCTCTGGAATCAGAACTGTGGGGTGGGCACAGCAGTTTGTGACCAAGCCCTCCAGCTGACTCAGACGTACGTGTGAGAACCTACTCATTTGGGAAGTGAGGCCCTGGGACCCCGAGAGGTCAGGACTTTTGAGCAAGTTTATGTCAGGGCTGGAGCTAAAACCCAGGCTGTGGCCCCCACCGTACCACATGGCAAGAATATGCCTGACTCTAGGATATGGCAAGATGCTGGTCTATCAGGAACCTAAAGGAAAAGAAGCCAGAACAACATCTCTCTGCTGCTAAGGGAGCTGTGTCCTTCCAGGTCTGTCATTGTAAGAGGCCCCATGAAGAGGCATGGCTGTGATCGAGGCTTGGGGTTGGGGTTTGGGCTCTGCCACTTCCTGAGCAAATAAGTGACTTAGCTTCTCAAATCCTCCGTTTCACCATCTGTCAAATGGGAGCAAGGAAACCTACCCTGGGTTGTTGTGAGGCTGGACCTGTTTATTCAGCACATGGGCTCTTACTGAGGCCTTCCGCGTGCCAAGCATGGTCCTAGGCCCTGGGGCAGAGCAGTGAAAAACAAACTCTGGTGCCTGCCCCTGTGGCTCTGCGTGGCTCTCTCCATTTGCTTAGGTCTCTGATCCATGCCACCTCCCCAGAGATGTGGAAAATGCCTCCTCTCTTCTCTAGCCCTGTATTCTCCTCTTCCCAGCAGAAGCCAGTATGTGTCATTATATCGGATGGGTGTATGCACGTGCGTGTGTGCGCCTGTGCAAGGGTGCGCGTTGGCTGCTCATGGCACGCTCCCGGGGTGCATCCAGCAAGGAGATGAGCAGCCAACGCGCACCCTTGCACAGGTACATGCGCACATGCACAAACAACACATGTGCATGCACACACACACGTCTGATATAAGGATACGGAGTGGCTACTGCTGGGAAGAGGAGAATACAGGGCTAGAAAGTGGAGAGGAGGTGTTTTCCTCACCCCTGGGGAAGTGACATGGAACAGAGACCCGAGGGAGTTGGGGGAGCCGTGGGGAGCCCTGGGGCAGGACACCCTGGAGTGTTAGTGGCCTTCCTGGCTGGAGCAGAGAAGCCAAGGAGGGGAGAGGACAGAGCATTGTGGAGAAGGAGTTTGGATTTATTCCCAGCGCAGGGGGCACCACTGGGGGCTCTGAGCAGGAGCGAGGTGGCCACTTTGCGCATCGGGCAGCGGAGTGTGGCTGGTGGGTGCTGGCTGTGGGGTGCTCGGGGAATGGAGCGGTCAGCACGGCTCCTGCCCCAGGGGGAGCCCCATGGGCTCTGGCGGCTGCTGATGTTCTTGTGGCCATTATCACTTCCAGATGTGACCCACCGTGTGGCAGCCAGCCCCTGCCCAGGTGACCTGGGCTGACCAAAAGGCAGCGCTGCTGGGCCGCTTCCGTCTCCCCTTCTCAGTCTGCTGCCACCAGGGAAGCAAACGCTGCCCGCGCCCTGGGCCCACGCTGTGCAGGTGCAGGTGCTGTTTTGTGTAGGACGCTCAGAGGAAGGCTTCCCGTCAGTGCAGAAAGGGCTTTTAAGCGGGGTGGAGTAGGCCACAGGCAGGAGAGGGGGGGTGGGGGACACAGCTGTTCCTCTCACCAGGACCAGCCACCTGAGCCAGAATTGAGTTCTTTTGTACGTCACTGAGAAACTCACTTTGACAGAGACAGCTCCATTTTTCTTGGAGTTAAGATACTTGCTGTATCAAAAAAACTGTCAGTTTCTGTGTGAAATGGAATTTCAGGGGAAGCAGTTTTGTGGGTTTTGGGTTTCTGGGATGTTTTAAGGAGGAAATAACCTTTTTCTCTTCCAGTGATCATCTGTCTTGATAACACTTAGGAAGTTCCACTCCTCACAGCCCAGGCCACAGCACCCTTTACACAGCAATGTCGTCGTCTTTTTTTCCCTTAGGGATCTATCTTCCCTGTGGAGCTAACAACCAAATAGAATCACTGGGGTCTCCAATATAGATTTCTAAGTGGCTGCTTTGATCAGGTTAAAGAATACCCAGTTTCCACCCCCCATGATAGTGCACAGGCCCAGGTCTGGGATGCCAGGGTCATGGGAAGGCTCTGGGGAGTGGATCTGTCCCAAGGAAAATCTGGAGTTTGAGATGCCCCCACTGGTTAGGCTGAGTCACACGTGCGGCCTCGGCTGGCCCCGAGACCTGGTTCAGATTTCATGGGCTGCATTGTTTGGCGCCTTGTCTCTCCTGCCAGAGGATGAACAGAGAGAGAAGTCGGTCTCCCACCAAACAGTCCAACAGCTGGTCCTGGAGAAGGAGCAAGCCCTGGCTGACCTGAACTCTGTAGAGAAGTCTCTGGCTGACCTTTTCAGGAGATATGAGAAGATGAAGGAGGTTCTGGAAGGCTTCCGCAAGGTGGGTCTGCATTTGGGGGGTGGAGTAGGAGGCCGTCCAGGCCAGGTGCAGAAGTGGGCACAGGTCGGGAGGGATGTGGGGAGCCCAGGTGGGGGGTAGGCATTCTGCAAGTCCGTCCTGAGTCACCAAGGAGTGGGTCCTTGAAGGCTGGAGAGTCAGACTTGGCTGTCTGGGTTTATACCTGCATCAGTGAGTTCTTGGTTTCCCAGCACTCCTGGGCATTTCTTCTTACGGGTTTCACCCCTGTCTTCTGTCACATCAGAATGAAGAGGTGCTGAAGAAGTGTGCACAGGAGTACCTGTCCCGAGTGAAGAAGGAGGAGCAGAGGTACCAGGCTCTGAAGGTGCACGCAGAGGAGAAACTGGACAGGTAATGTAGCCTTGGGGTGCTGCCAAGGTCCCCTTATGAGCCCCTGCCACGGCAGGCACCCTGGCATTGGCTTGGAAAGGGCAGATAATCCATGGGCATTTTGCAGTATGACTTGAGATAATGGCACACTTTCAGTTAGCATCATTTTGATAAGTGAAGGGCATGTTCCATAATGTCCAGGGTATACAAAGCACCTGGGATTGTAGGAATGGGAATCGGGGATGGGGTCTCATGTGCTTCTATGCTTGGGCTCCAGTTGGTGGCAGCTGAAGCCATACCATTGCCCCTGCTCAGAGCTGGGAGGAGGGAGGCGGTAGGCATCTACGGGGATCTCGAGCAAAGGATGAAGGTTTCTGAGCCCGCTGTTCCTGCAGGGCCAACGCCGAGATCGCCCAGGTTCGAGGCAAGGCCCAGCAGGAGCAAGCCACCATTGCCCCTGCTCAGAGCTGGGAGGAGGGAGGCGGTAGGCATCTACGGGGATCTCGAGCTAAGGATGAAGGTTTCTGAGCCCGCTGTTTCTGCAGGGCCAACGCCGAGATCGCCCAGGTTCGAGGCAAGGCCCAGCAGGAGCAAGCTGCCTACCAGGCCAGCTTGCGGAAGGAGCAGCTGCGAGTGGACGCTCTGGAAAGAACGCTGGAGCAGAAGGTAACAGGACGAGGGCAGTGGCCTCCAGGCGGTGGGGCTGCTGTCCCCTGCAGCAATGGGCCAGTCCGTGAGATAAACAGAGGCTGGGCTGCCCCGGCCTGCTGCTGCTCCCAGGCTGAGCCAGCACGACAGCGGCACGCCCAAGACGAGCTCCTGCTTTGCAGGACTATGCTTGTCCCCCCCACGGAAGACTCAGATGAATGCTGGCCCTGAGACTGGCTTCCTCTCTGCCTTTCTGGAATTGCAGTCTGCATGGGTGTTGATTGCCATTTTTCATTTCTTTTCAACATTCATTTGTAAAATACTTATTAAGCTCCTACAATGTGCCAGGCATAGTACTTGAACCCCTACGTGCAGTGTGCTTACTGGTGAGTGGCGGGACACCCACCAGGCCCCTGACAGAGGCTGATGCAGAGAATGGGCAGTGTCAGGGCCGAAAGGGCCTCCCAGAGTCCTCTAGTTCCATGGACAGAGGTGGATCTTCCTGAGGTCGCTCAGCTTGTCCCAGGTTTCCTGATTTTCAGTCTGGTGCCCTGTGCTCAGTGTTTTCCTGGGTGTCCCAGTGAGAAGCCCCTTCAGCCCAGGAGTCCCCATTCCAGTCAATTTACTGAGCCTCAGGATTTCTCTGGATGGTCATCAGAGGGCCCAGCGGCCTGGGGTAGCAGCACTATTCGTGCATTTTGGGCCTTGAAGGCAGTTGTGGGGGGTCCTTTGTAGGCAGGTGAGCATCAAGAGTCCAGTGTGTCTCCCCAGTGGCCTCTGCTGCCCCAGTCACACCCAGCTGGCCTCAGGAGACTGGCCCTCCTCCTGTGCCTGCACCCTGCCAGGTTCCCACATGGCTGGCTGTGGTCACCTGTGGTCCAGAGGGGCATTTGGGCCAAGCAGTAGTCATCTCTGCCCTGGGCAGGCGCTAACTCACCTAAATGCTGTCAGGGAAGGAGTCATTATGGCCCTGGGCAAGGCTCAGCCTTCGCCTAAGCCTCCAGGTTCCCTCCAGCCCGGAAAGTTATGTGGCTCTGTTAGCCTTACAGAAACTTGACTCACCTGGGCAGTTCTTGGGTGAAGGCATTGAGCATTTCACCTGGTCAGGCTTTGTGAAGGCTTTTGCCCACTAAGCTGAGCCCTGTGATGGGGCCCTGGGTGGAGCTTATAGAACCTCCAGGAATCAATATCTAATTCTGGTTGCTGGACCATATGTTTAACAAGTAATAGCAAAGCTGTATAGGAGCCAGGTCAACTGGAATTCGTGTTCCA